ATGTCGCACCGGCAAAGTGCTCCTTCAGCTCCTCGGTGGTCCAGTTGCAGGAGGTAATGACAAAGTGCCCGCCAGACGGGGAGACCAGCATGGGTAGGTGCTTGATGAAGAGCTTGCGCGCGCCTGCCCAAGCACGGCATCAGAGGTCCAAAGTCAGGTGCATCAAGCTGCGAGGGAGCACGCGCGACACAAGCCCACCCCGGTCGACGGCCGTACGCACTCGGGGAGTTGAGGGAAATGGCATCGTAGGTGCCCTTGTCCAGGACAATGTCAAAGGGACCGCCGGCCAGGTCCAGGTGCGCCTGGACCGACGCCGCGTCCAGGAGGTCCAGGCGGAACAGCGACAGGCGGCTGTGGCGGACGTTGTCCTCCTCCTCCTCGTCAAAGTCAAATGGGCTGTCCGCCTCGTCGGCATCGCTGGCGTCGTGCGACTCCGGCTCCGACTCCGACTCCGACTCCGACTCCGATTCGGATCCAGACCCGGGCGCGGCCTCCGGCAGGCTCAGGACCTCGACAGGCAGCCCGATCTGCGCGGCCAGGCGCCGAGACAGCTCCACCGCCGCCGGGCTGTAGTCACACCCATGTAGCGCGGTAAACCCGGCGGCCGCCATCAGGAAGAGCATGTGCCCGTTGCCGCAGCCGAGGTCCATCACGCGGAGGCCCGACCGCGCGGGGTCATCCTCATCGCCCTCGCCAATGAAGGTCTTCTTGCACCAGGTGACCATCTTGGTGGCACTTTGCTCGCCGAACCTGCGCACCAGCCGGTCCCGCGCCCGATGCAGCCCCATGCCAAAGGGTCAGTCGAAGGATGCGCACAGCAGCCCCACCAGGGTGCGGCCCAGGCGCGGCAAACGCCACAAGGCAAGGCACGCACCAGACTTCGCCGATGTCGCCGTGGGAGGCATGGTTCTTCAGCTCCAGCTTATACTGGTCGTCCCAGCTGCCGAATGTCGAGAGGCAAGTGTCAGGCCGTGCGTCCCCCGGATCAGTGAGAGCCCCCAGCCGGCCGGTTTACGTACTACTTCTTGGTCCCCAGGGCCGAGGGGTTTTGCTCGCCATCGTCCGCGGGCGCCGGGGGGGCCGGCGAGATCGGGCGGTCGCTCGTCGGGGCAGACATCACTCTGCAAAGGGTGGAGAGGGGGGGGGGGCAGACAAAGGGAAAGGGGCAGCGGGCAGAGATGCAAGGGCAGCGGGGGAGGGTACACTGGTCGGGGGCTCGGCGGGCCCGGGCACCGGACAGGGTGGTCCCCCATGAAGTGGCCACCGGCGGCGGGGACGCCACGGTGCCGCGGGCTGGGCCGGCGCGTGGCACACGCGCGCGTGCGCACGCACGGACCCCGAGCGGGGGCGATCGGCTCGGGGCCCGATACGCCGATCATGTGCACCGGGTCAGACGCCCCGGTGCTCTTCTACCGGACCAGGGATGCTACAGCATCCTGCTGCTTGTCCAACAGCCCCCGGTCCCTTGGGGCGTATTTGGGGGCGGGGGGGGGGGGGGGGAGGGGGGGGGGAGGGCCAACAGGGGGCCCCTCACATTCTCCCTTGCCCGTGCTGAGAGCCCCGGGTCGAGATCAAGGCGCTGGCCTCTTCGGCTGCGAGCGCATGCCCCTTGGCCGGTAGATTCTCGCCAGCCGGGGCGGTGGACAGTGGGCATGCCGCCAGGGGGGGGGGGCGGGGAGACGGAGTCCTGGCTGCAAGAATGGCCAGAACGTTCACGATCGGTCCGGGGACAGAGCCGGTCTCGGGCTACATCGGCTTTCTCATTGCCGGGGCTGCTGTGTGCGTGTGGGGGGTCTCCGCGCGCGGGGCCAACAAACGAGACGGTTTTCCCTCCGATTCCCTGGTCTTGGGG